TATCAGATTATTTGAAATACTTTAAATATATATGTGTTACTCTATTAATTTATTTAAATAAAAAAGTTAATTCTCTTTTGAGTAACTTTGAGTTTGATTACAAACCGTTATTAGTACGAGATTTATCAATCAAAGTTAAACATTACTTCTACTTCGATAAGCGTTTTATAAATGTTTAAAAAAAAATCTCTTTAATATAGGGCGAAGGAAAAAATATACAATTAAAACGTAACATCTCATGTAGACAGCGAAGAGACATACTGTTCACCACCGAGTGAACAAAGAGAGAAAAAGATGATTCATTTAACAGTTTCTTGGTTCCGGAAAGCTTCGATGTTAAATACGTGAACGATCCGATTCTCTTATAGACCGAATTTTAATTATCATGTATAATTTTCGTAAATAAACTAAAAATGTGAGTTATTTAAGAATAATTTAAAATAATAATTTCTATAAAATCCTAAAATGCGAACAGTGCAATTAGTTAATCATATCGTATTTATTATTCTTGGCAAAATTTGATTTAATATATTAACTTATTGATTAAATTTTGACAAAATACAAATACTTCTAATTTGTGCAATATTATAAAAATACATCAAGAATCTAATATAAGAAACTATTAAAACTGTATATGTTATTATATTTTTGAAATATAATATTTGTAATATTGCAATTATTACGTTAAATTTTCATTACTGAAACTCATAATAATGATATAAAATCACATATTTGCAGACGATAGAATTTTATTGTAAGCATATAAAAAATCACATATTCTCCAATAATTTTTTATTTCCTATAATTAATAGACGAATTATTTTTCTTAAATAAACTTACGAATCATTACTACAGTCAATGCATATAATTCGAAATAACGTAAAATGTAGTTATATATTACTTGTCTGTACATGTTATTTAGACAAATTATCAAATCTTAAATTTAATAAATATAAATTATAAACTTGCTATGTTTTTAATATTAATATATAATTTATTCATGTATATTAAGGTAGCAATAAAGTATTTTTATTACTTAAATCATATAATAATTTAAAATACTAAGATTATTTAAAAAAGAAAATTAAAATTTGATTCTGCAAAGATAATTATTTTAATCATTTGATATAATAATGGTCAATATTTTTATTCTCTTATGATTACATTTTTATAATATTGCCTTCAAAATATGTCTATAGAAGAAATGTATTTAAATCTCAAATTAGAAAATAAATCTTTATTTTTTGACTAACATTTTCATCCATTCTATCCTGTATGTAATATTTTTGTACTATTGGTATATCTGTTTTTATTTTATCGAAAAGACTTGGTAGATTTGAAATTAGAAAATAAATTACATTATCAAGCAAGTAAATATTACTGTATATTAATTTAATATACAGTATTTAATAGTGTATAATTAATAAATTATATTGGTTATAATAATATTGTAATATAATATAATATAATATAATATAACAATAATATAATAATAAAAAATAGATAATAATAAATATAATTAATAAAAAAAACAGCATTTAATAGTGCCTAAACTGGTGAATAGCAAAGATGTTAATATTTAAATATCTACATTTAGATATTATAGAATTGTCAATAATGTAATTTTAAAGTTAAATAATTTTAATTTCTACGATATAAATCGTAAAATTTCGTAAACAAATCGTAATCATTTATTTATGTGCATTTGTAATGGAAATAAATTTTATTAAGTACTTGGAACTTATAAAGTTTTTAAGTATAAAGCAAAATTTAGAATAGTGTAAAGATAATTCTTAATTATACTTTAATATATACATTGAATATTCTAATGATCTGTTTATGCTGTGATAAAATGCTAGTTTGAATTTTTTTTATATTCAATAAAAAAAAATAAGAAACCAGATTTTTCATTTTTCGACAGGACATTTCATATCGATATGCATTGAATCTTAGAACCGTATAATAAAAGTACCTCATATATAATGGAGAAAATGACAAGCGAAAGTGACAAATGAAGTATATCTACTTTGATAACTCTTTAGTCAACTGTATAAAAAGAAAAAGAAAAGAAGAAATGTAAAAGTGAACAAATGTCAGTTTTTAATTTGACCTTGATAATGGTAATCTTTGAGTTCGCAAGCACGTGACACATGATCTGAAGTTTATCAGAACTAAGTAAGATTGTAATTGACCAAGTTGTTTAATGTTAATAATTTGTATTTAGCTTCTTATTCCAAATATAGGACTTTAAACTATTTCATTTTACATTCTGATGTAATGTATTATATTTCAAAAAAGGTGATTTATGGTTATTAATAAGAATTCATTTGTTATACAGTTAACAAAATTATTTTTATTATTAAAGTTCATTATTATTATTTAAAGCAAAATTTTGAATTTTAATAATAAATAAAATTAATACTGATTTACACTTGGCATTAAATGTTGTTCAATAGATTATCACTTAATTATATTGGAATATATATTAAAAACAAAATTTATATCCTTTTTTAATTTTTCGGTTAATAAGTACAAATAAAATCTGAAGCTTATTCTCAACTATTTACAAATAAATCATGTATAATAAATCTTATTTAGTACTTTATATAACTTTATATAACATTATATTTTTATATATATTTTGTATATAATGCTGTAATTCAACTTTAATAATTACGAACTAGTAATCAACTAATCATTAATATAATTACTTTTAAATTATATATTTTTTTTCCATGGAAAATATTTACTTATAATAATAATTGAAATAAAAATTAATTTTCTTAAAGCAATAAAGTTAAAGCAAAAATCATTAAAAATAAATCTTAATAATAATAACAAAAATAACAACAACAACAATCATAATTATGATTATTCTTAACTGATTGTTATTATTATTATATCAATTTATTAAATTTTAAATTCTATTGAAGTGAACTTTTAACTTCAGTTATACGATTTATTAACCTACGATATTAATTTAGTAATTCGTATTGTATATTAAAGTAGTATTATAGGTGATCTTCATTTTTAAAATTGTTCTACAATATTTGTTTTCAAGCTCTTATGTATCAATAGCAAATACTTGTTATGCAACTAATTGGCTCAATTAACATTTAATCTTATTGGTAATGATTCTTATTCCATAAATTAATAAAGTATAAATAAAATATAGGATAATACAGATGCTTGATTTTTATTGGGAATTATGATAAAAAAAATGTCGAAGCTTCCATTGACGTCAAAACTACAAAATCGTACTACCAATGGTCCGTAGCAAAGTTTCTGCTAAAGGCAGTGAAGTTCTGCTGTCAACGAGACCGTTGAGTGGCTCAGCTTACACATCGTTGCACATACCCTGCGATTCTAGGCCAGTCTGCTCTATTCGAAATCTCTAGAACTCGCTTTCTTAAGAATCAATCAAAGAATCGAGTTTTCAATTTTCTTTATAAAAATGTAATTATATTCAAACGAATTATATGATACTTCTAATACTCATAATAAATCTAATACACAAAAACATATATAAAAAATATTTGTAATATTGAAATTTTATCTATGATGTTATTGTTTTCCCAATAGATTTCTTTACAGATTATTTTTGATATATGAATGAATTTGAATTATAAAAATAATAAAGATATTTTGAATCATGCATATTATTTAATTTGAGGCGTAAATCATAAGAATCAATTGGCATGTAAAATGCGTATATAATAAGCACCTAGTCTTTACTAAATCATATTACGTGAATTATTTAATTTATTATATTCATAAATTTTAATCTACAAATTATAATTAATGTTTCAAATTAAAAATTAAAATTAAAAATTCTTGTTGTGTAAGTATAATAGTCACTAAAGTTTTTATAGAATAATTATTATTTTAAATTAATTTGGAACTGTAAATTTAAGAAGCTTCAGCAACGGGTTTAACTAAATTTATGACTGTTACAAAAAAAAGACACTAAACCGTCTCGAATAAGAGGTAAAAATCATGTGTTCTTTTATGACATGCGCGTCAAAGAAGAAAAAGAGTACGACACCCTGAAAATCTGTTGACAGCATGTTGTTTTGCCTTCATTTTTTCTCACGGAAAAATCATTTGGATGCTTTTAAAATTGAGCTATTTATTATGTCCAATTGAGAAAAGCCATCAAATTTAATAAATTAATCAACTTACGTAAATGAGATATAAAAAATTAGTAATATTTTTATCAAATGATTGTTATTTAATGATAATAGATAAAGTTAATACTTAGCAGGATCTATATGATTTAATTGGATAAAGTATAAAATGCAAAATAAACATGATTTTTCACAAGGTCTTTTAGCATGGTTACAAAGTACGCCACTCTTGTCTTTATGTTTAATTATTAAAAAGTATTACATGTTAAATAACTATAAAGAATATTATCACATAAATACTTAACAAACTCACTTATTAATTTTAAATATTTTGTACAACTTTTAGTAATCTATATTTGAGAAATATTCGAATGAAAATAATTTTTTATTCGCGTTATTCAAATCCTATCATACATTATTGAAGACTTCTGGTCAGAATATTTGGTATATTAGCAACATATTATTACTAATCAAAAACATATTGCATTGCACCATATGTCTTTTTGTACAATATATACATAATTTACGTAATTTTAATAAATTTAGCACAAAATACAAATCAACGCAATAAAAATAAAGAATTTAGCAAATCTATAAATATGTATTACGAACAAAAATTAATTAATTTTTATTTGAACAATCAATCTTCTGTCCTGATTATTTTTCTGAAATACGATCATATTTTGTCATCCAGACTAACACTTTCCCAATACAGAGTTCATTGACTCGAGAATAAGAAATGCGTAGCATAACCAATTAAGAATAAATAGCCTTCTAAATATTCCTTAATGACTTTAACACACTTGAGTTTCTTCCACGCACAGCTCAAAGTCACTTTCACGGATTTTAATTGAGAGGTGAGATGGGGCACAGAATCACAAAATAAGGAAACATTGAGTTTCATTGAACAAAGAAGCGATCCATTAATTAGTCAGTCTAAGAACACGCATGCACGCACGCGCGTTCGCGTGATACCGTTCACGCCACGCACAAACAGATATACATTGGGTGCGAAACACTTCTCACGTGGTGTACTTAATCTAGTCATAGTAGAGGCAAGAGGCTGGCGTAGTGCTGGCATGGACATTGTTCGCACCGGGGATGCTGAGACCGCCGATGTTTCCCAAGTTGAGAGAGCCAAAGGCGCTAAGCGATGTATTTAACGCCATTGTCCCAGCCGTGTGGCTCAAATACGGTTTTCGCTCAATTATCCCACCCCCGGAATTACTTATATTATTCCCATTTGACCCTTGCATCCTCGCACCTGTAACATGAAAATGAATTTTATAATTACTAAACACATTTACTTTTTCAAAAATGCTCGATGACATACATAGTAATAACTAAATGGAGATTTAATTTTCTTTTTTTTATTCGTCGTTAAAATATTTATTCCTTTTTTATATTACGACTATTAAACATAATATAAATTAATTATTTGTCAAATAAAGCAGTTTATAGTTCAATTATTGAAAAATATTTTATAACTATCTGGGTTAATATACAGATTTTGTACAAAATAGTGCGGTATTAACAGGTATTTAAATTTAATTATTTATCCATATTTTCATTTTCACCAATAGAAAATAAATACTAAGCCTAGGCAGACTAGTATTATAATCTTTCACCATATGAAAATTTCTAATTACATAATTTTAACACGACAATTGATTATTTATATATTTTCCATATCATACAAAAATTAGAAAATCTAAATAAGGCATTCAATAATTAATTCATCTATTCGTTGAGTTTAATTTTTAAGATAATTATTGATATTCTCTTATTGAAATCTTCCTTATATTGTCTCAATGTGCCTTAAAACTTGAAAGAAATAAAAAGTTTACACTATTAAAATTATAAATATAACATCAATAAAAACATTTTTTAAATAGTATCGAAGAATTTTAAATGATAGGTAAATAATCGAAATATTGCAACGATCTCACGAAAGATCATCTTCGAAATATCAGTGACTATACTGAATAATCTCGAGTGTGCTTTAAGTTCAAGTGGACACTTCAATAGTGTTCCATTTCTTTATTTGCCTTTTTTCTCATATACTATTTTTTTATTGCTATCTCTATCAAGCTAAGAATGACTCAACTTCATTGCATGAAATCTTCGCACGAGCCAAAATTTTTTCTTAACTTAAATTACATTAATTTTATTTTTTATAAAATCTTATATTTTATGTATTTAACGGATATATATATATATATATATATTATATATATACATATATGTATATATTATATATATACATATATATTATATTACATATTAATATGATACAATTACCCATAGTATCATATTTTTGTACTTTGAAAAAGAAAAAATTTTTTATTCTTAGGTTTGTTTACGTTCATAGTCGCTAAAGGTCTTAAGATAATACAAGACGGTAGCAAGAAAGAATCTAAGAATATAATTGCAGTTTTAATATTCTACTCATATATGATTTATGAAACAATGTAAAGTTTTCATAAATTCCATAAGAAGTTCCATAAGAAATTTTAATATCGAATGAATGAATTTTTCTTTACCGAAAAATAGAGATTTTTAAAAAGAAAAAAAGAGTTAAGAGACTTTTATAATAATTTTATAAGCCATGTTTATATAATAATTATACAACTAATTTTCTCCAAATTTATAATAAAATATCTTTTTAAGAACAACATTCAATGTTATAGAGTCATTATGTTCTATTGATTTTAATTTAGATTCTTAATCTTATATCCAAATAAGATAATTATGTTCTAGCAATTTGAAATAGTTTTTTTAAATTTGAATTAATAAATTTGATCAAAAGTTTATTGTAAATTCAGAATATGTACATAATATTTATTCATTATAAATTGATTAAGTCATAATATCCATAATATAATAAGAATTTAAACGGAAATTTATTAATTATAATAAATATAAACAAAATATTTACAAAGTTAAAATATATGAAAATATTATTTAAACGCCTTTACAGAATTGTTTATTTTTTTTATGTTTTAAATATTTTTAATCAATATTTAAATTTGAAATATTCAAAGAGGTTTAATATATAATGAATAATTTATACGTTAAAATTAATTGGAAATTTATAAAAATTGAATTATATTTATTTGAAATTTAAATACATAAAAAATTTAAAAATTACATTATATATTGGTACTATTATATCGATTAATGGTTTAAGCTTTAAAAAATGAATTAAATATTATTTAGAATGTCAATGCAAAATTTTATTATCTTAAATTTTATCTAATAAAGGATGAAAAAATCATCCTGTAATAAGATAAGATTAATATACTATAGTAATTATATAATATTATATATTAATATTATATATTAATTTTGTTATTGTATTAATATTTGTATTAATATTTATGTTAATTAATATTAATATAATATTAATATTATATATAAATAATATATAATAAACTAATATAAGATTAATTTTTTTAAATTTTTATTCTTATATTTATTCTACTTTCTGTCCAATTATAATTCCTTGTTTTATATATACACTTTTTAGGCATTGAATATTATAATTTATAATTGATTTACATTCATATCATATACTTTAAACAAGCATATTTTGTAAGATAGTTTATTAATTTCATTTTTATTAAAATAAACTAATAAAATAAGCTTCTACATACATTTTCATAAATAATGCATAAAAATCTACATATAATTTTATTGAATTTGTTTTAGTAATGAAAACCTATATCATAATAATATTAATTTCATATATTTATTTATGCACATAAAACAAGTATAAGTAAATATAGATAGTATTATTTTAGTCGAATATAATTAGAAGAATAAATAGTAATTCGATTTAATATTATTATGTTATTTGTGAATTTAAAAATATAATTAATATTAAATTAAAATATTTTAAACTTCTTTTAATAATAAATTAAAAAAAAAAATTAGTTTTTAAATTACACATAATCAAAAGTATAATGTTTTTAATTAGGGATAAATGAAATATCGAGTTGATCGAGGATAAACGTTTTTAATTTTTTTTTAATTAACTATTACTTTTTTTGATTCTATAATTTCATAAATTCATCAACTCGAATTTATATATACTTTTAAATTCATTACATAATAAATGCAAAAATGTTGTTAAGAAATTGAATGAAGTTCATATGTTTACTTAAATCATCATCAAATATATGACTTATGTAAATAATACGACTTATATATTTTTAAATATCGAATATGCATCTGTGTAGTATATCAGTTACTAAATCAATGTATTTCTTTCCAGTATATTTTAATTATACATGATTTCTATCTTACATAAGATTTTGTTATAAAAATTACATTTGTTATGAAAAACTAGACTTTTTAATTTACAAAAATGTATAAAATAACTGTATCCTAAAATATTAATTAAAAAATTAATTCATAATTAAGCATTTTAATTTTAATGATATTATTTTTGTATAATTTTTAAATTATTTGAAGTATGTTAAGAAAGCATGAATATTGTAATTGTTAAAATTACAATGTCACATTATCCGATCAAAATTAGTATAAGACATAAGAAAATAAAAAAAAGTGATATTTTACCGTGATCTACAATGGATGTATGACATCCTCCGTGAGGCGAGCTAACACTCGTGATTGGACTGCTAGAGCCCGGCGGCATCGCTTGAATCGCTTGTATTGCCGCGTTAATATTTATTGATGGAGTTTGGATTGTATTACCCGTCAATCCACCGTATGTTGCATAGTAATCCTGATTAGGATTGCTACCGACACTCGAAACGCTATTGCATTTATTGTAGGTAATTGTCGTCCCAGAAATGCCATCACTCTCCGAATCTATTTTAAAGGCTATTTCTGCATGTTGATGTTGGTGTTGATGCATTTGTTGTTGCTGCTGTTGTCCATGATGATGGTGGAGGTGTAGTTGATGGTCCTTAAGACTGTTTTGGAAGCTATCTGGTTTAAAAGGCACTGTCTGTTCCTGTGGCGCTCTAGTGTATGGAATCTCGCTTTTGCATACTGTTCCCTCGCCACTTCTGTAGACTGAAGCATCGCTTCCAGTTTTGTAGGTCACCTCGGTCGTTTTGTAAGTAACCTCAGCTATTGGCGTTGGTGGAGGCAGAGGTGGTGGCGCAGTTTTATATGAAGTCTCTGGATATGTCCATTCAGCAGCAATACTAGTGGCACCATACATCGCGTATTCAGGGTAGCTTTGATATTGGTTCTGATATCCACTTGTATAGTCGACACTGGCAGCGCTTGCAACCGCGAGATTTTCGTAGCCAGTAGCTTGAACTCCCGATACCGCCGTCGGAAAATATTGCGGATACTGTGGTTTAAGAGCTTGGCATTTTCGGCGAAACCCACGCGGCCTGCGTCGAAAACTGCCCTCCTCAAACATAAACTCACTAGCAGGATCAATGGTCCAGTAATGGCCTTTACCAGGCCTACCTAAACCCTTGGGTAATTTAATAAAGCACTCGTTTAAACTAAGATTGTGTCGCACAGAATTTTTCCAGCCTTGATATGTTCCGCGAAAGAAGGGAAAATGTTGCTGTAGATATGCATAAATTTCTGATAGGGTAAGACGTTTACCCGGACTCGATTGAATGGCCATCACTATAAGGGCAATGTAAGAGTAGGGTGGCTTTTCTTGGCGACGGGTACCTGGTTTTCTTGATAATGCTTCTTGACTGGCAGAATTTGAGCTAGATAATAATGGTTCAAAACTTTGAGCCTGAGTTAAAGTTGAGACGACAGCGCTGCTACAAATTGATCTTGTAGGATTACCCGATATTGAGTGACTGAGAGAGACTGATGGATGAAAGTGAGATGATATCGAATTGTGTTGTTGCGAGTGGTGTTGGTGATGTTGATTTTGTTCACGCAGATGAAGATGTTGCGTAGATGCTATTGATTCAGATTCATTAGTCATGATTAAAAAATATGTTGATTCAAAATTAAGTAACTGTCTATTCTAATTTGATTGGTTTGTAGCCAATATTTTAGTCGTTGCAATGATATTTTCCAGCATTTGTGATTGTTAAATAATTTGACTTATCAGCTACACGTAATGTCGCACATAATTAAAATTCTGTATTCCAAGTATTTCTCACTTTGTAAACATTTCTAATAAAATTGCACTTCATTACAGAACGCTCATTACAGATTTGTTTGTTCGATGCTACACTTTACTTACGCACTAAAATTTTTATTAGCTTAATGAAACAGAATTTTGATCGTAAGGTAGTAATTATTTACACGAGCCGAGAGTAAACTGTTTAGCTGTTTCTGCACTTGGACAAGAACACGCGTCGAATCTTGAGAGGCAGTCAAAATGAGACAGCAGTCAAAGCGGAATAGTTAATCACTTATTACGCTCGGCTCTTCGGGTTTTGCTTGACTGCGCAGGAGCAACTCGAACCACTCGAGAACAGTCGGAGCTACAACAGAGATTTCAAAATCATGGCACAGCCGTACTAGTCCAATATTATTGGAGGATTTGTTACAAGTGGGCGGTGCATCGTTCTTGGGGTGGAGCTGAGAATATGAAAAAGACTTTCGTTTATTGGTGGATTTGACACGAACCCTTTCAATGGCGGATCTCGAAAGTAGATTTACCGTCGTACAAATGCGTACTATACTTTGGAGAAGAGATACTTAGTAAGTGTACAGGATGTACATTATTTTTTTCCACGTTATTTATTATTAGATTCAGTAATATTTGCAATTAGCCTACAACTTCTGTTAAATGCTTACTGTAGTACACGCAATAAATATTTAATGTGATTTCTAATTACTTAAATAAGTCTATGTTCCTTAATTTGAAATCGAGAGTCTTATTAACACTTTATTCTATTAACATTATACAAGAAAAGTAATTTTAATTATTTTTTTAAGTATGTTTAATAATATACTTAATATTGTTATATATAATTATAAAAAATAATATTAATACAATGCTCGGTTAATGTAACAAAAAATAATTAGCTTAACATTTGTAATAATTTGAATATAAGAAATAATTTTTTAAATTTAAACACTCACTATTATAATTACGATTTATTCATATAAAAATGTTTTCTCATAATAGTAAAAAAAAAATATTTTATATAATTTATATAAAAAAATTCATATAAAAGTAGAAATTACTTTCGTTAAAATAAAATGCAATATTGAGTTATGTAATGAAAAGTGATATTGACTTAAAAAATGTGAAAACGTTGGGAAAATTGTATACTAAACATGTAATCGTATTAATTTTTTATAACACACTGAATATAAAAACGAAAAAATTATTAATAAACCAACAGTAATATGTTTAATTCAAATATATATAAACATTTTTAAAATTAATATCTGATTTATCCATTCCAAAATATTCATGTTTTGAGATGAACTTTATAAATATTAAATAATAATGATATAATATAATAATTTTTTTCTATAAATCAAGATTTTTTTGCAATATGAATCATCAAATAATATCGAAAAAATAATATTTATAACTAAATAATTAACTATAAATATACTTTCAAAAATTATATGGTATAATTTCTTTTCATTATTGTCTTAATGTATAAAAAACTTTTAAAAAATGTATTCTATGAAGAAATATTATACTGTATTTCTAACCATTTTGTAATTAGGCAAATAAATCACTTAAGAATCGGTAAGATTATATATCAGAAATAAATAGTCATAGTAACAACAGACCATTTGAACACAAATTTTCATTTTTTATAGATTATAAAAATGTATAACTTACTGAATTTTTTTTACTATATTTCTATCTAAATACATATAATTTTAAAATAATTATGTTACAGTTTGCTACAGTGTGTATGATGTTTTTTGTATCATTAATATTCTTACAACTAAATGAAGTCTTAATAAGGATTTTTTAATAAATTTATGTACTAAATCAATCTTCATACTTATGGGGTTCTAAAATTGTATTTATTAAACGATTCTTAAACATTAGTAGATTTATAACTACCATAATTTAACAGATGTTTATTAGTAATGATTATATAGAATTTAATAGAAGCATTATTCGTATAAGTATTCATATATTAAGGACAACCATTTAACTCGCTGAAAGAACTCGTGAGAAAAATTGGTATGTATGATCCACTTAAAGTATCAATAGGAATTTGACACGCAGTCACGTGTCATCAGCAATAAACACCTTTGATATGTATTTAATTCTCGATGATGGGTAGGTTTGAGTCTGAATGACGAAAGACACCACGTACATACTCCTTTTACTTTTCACCGCTATCAATTCTAGATTGCGTCATCACAAGTCACAATAAAATGCAGACATCTGCAATTCATGATCAAATTTAATTAGTCATAAAATAATATTTATATATGATTCATTTAAATAGTTTATAAATAATTGTGTAAGAATATCTGTATCTATATCATCATCGTGCGAACCACTAATTATTTTTTTATGAATATAAAATGGTTTAAGCAAATATAATTATTTTAATGTATAATGAAAAACTTATATGTATATTTTTATTTTTCTGCAAGGAAATAAAGTCGTTATTTCATATAAAACATTTTTGTATTTCTATTTGCAATATAAATAATTTAAGAATAATAATATTATAAATTAAATACATTAATAATGTTCGCGTATTTATATAATGAATAGAATTATTACTTTTTTTCCATAGTATTTATCTTCTAATTTTCTTATTGAATATCTTAGCAAAAGAATTTATTTAGAGTTTATATAAACAGGTTTAAAATCTTTTAGCAGTTAAAAACAATTTTAGGGTGGATCACTCTTTTTAATTTATTGCGGTTTTAAGACAGTAGTTAGGAATAGTAGTTCAAGGGTTAATTTATTTTAAAGATAACGAATGAAAACGAAAAATAATCCTGATATCTTAAAACAATCTTGTAATACTGCACTTCTGTTTACTGTTTCTTGTCCTTGTATGAAAGATAAAAAGCCTTCGTGATGATTTCTTTCAAGTGTCTTGGGACACTCAAATTTTTGAAAAAAATAATATCATTATAATATCATCTCTCAATTTTTTTTCTAATACAAAATTGATTAATTTTGAATTATTTATATTAATAAAAAATTTAATATTAATTAAATCAATTAAATTAGTAAAATTGTTTATCTAATTTTTTATTAATTACATTATCTCATATTTAATGTGTACAAATTAAGAAATTATATGATTAATAAACAAGTTTTCTTTTTATTTGAATCACCAAAAACATAATGTTGTATATTATATTAAAATCATGTAAATACATTATTACATTTAATCAGTATGGCATCCTAAATAATGCTCTCTCTTGTCTTAAAAGAATATTCTTTCTTTCTCTTCCGTAAAACCTACGTCTTAAATCATTTCATTATATTCGTTAATTCTAAATAATATGCCATTATTTGGATCTTTAGATTCTTTTCAGATTCTTTATAGATTCTTTACGCCAAATCTTTAGATTTTTATAGATTCTTTACACCAAATCTTTAGATTTTTATAGATTCTTTACACCAAATCTTTAGATTTTTATAGAAGATTTTTATAGATTCTTTACACCAAATCTTTAGATTTTTATATTATTTGTACTCAATTATTTTTAAAATAAAAACATCGTATTTTAACATGTATTTAATTATATATTGAATTAAAAATAAAATAATATTCATTTTTATCAGTATTTTTTATCTTCATTACAATAATTAATTTGTCACACACTATTTTTTAGCTGCACGAACAGAGTATCATAATTGATTGGTTATATTATAGGTATTATAAGGGTAATAACATTTTCATTTTTAAAACAAATATTTAAGAGATAATAAATTTAATGTTTTCTTCTATTTCAATATAACACAGTTTCCGGTAAGTCCTAATGTAATTAAATTAATTTTGTTCATATATTTGTATATTTTTGTTATTGTGTACATTTTTCATCGTTAATTCAATTATGACAACGAAAAATAATTATTATGAAAATATTGATATTTTAAAACAGATTTTATTTAAAAATATATTTATTAAAAAATTAGTTTTCCAATAATCATACAGTCATTAGAAATAACTTTCTTTACTATATCGTGAGATTCATAAGTCTATAAGATCCATAAGTTTTTATAACAGACAAGACATCCTACGTCAGTTTTTTGATAATAAAAATGAAACCAGTACGTAATACCGAGATGACAGACCACCCGATGCGGAAAGCTTGTCGTCTCCTCGCACGTGTTCTCAGCCATACAAGGAAACCGCAGAGTGAGAGACACACATCATCTTCGAGTTTCCTTCATTTTTATTACTTTCGGAACTATATGTAATTGGTCTTTTAATAATATAACTGTTCTATGATTTTTTCTGAATTACTTTCTTTCCTACGCGTATGTCATAACTATTTCTATAGCTCAATGTGAACTGAATTTATTTAAAAAAAAAACCGCTTAAATATTTTGAAGTCCTTATTTAAATTATACATTAGTTTTTGTACATTAGTTTTTAATATAATAATTTGTATATTTTTCTGTTCATCGAACTATTCGAATCAATAAGATATGTCATATCTTATTGATCAAACTTTTCATTCAAATAAATAAAAGAACAAAAATAACCATATTAATAAAAATAATCACAAAATTAAATAATTTTAATAAGTCTGAGTTTCATATAGTCAGCTATTAGAATATTCGGATAAATGTATATATTATTCAATTTTATTAAATTTCAAGAAATAGAAACTAAAATTTTAAGAATATATATATATATATATATATATATATATATATAATATAATATATAATACTTAATTATTTTTAATTATATACTGTTAGGTCTTGGAACGATAAATTGTCAGTTAACTATAATTTATGGAAATATAAATCTTTTAAAAATATTTTCAGGATCACCTACATAATTACATGTA